CTCTCACACACACACACACACACACACACAAAGGGGGCCCGAAAGGGGGTCCGAAATCCCCCGACAGGTGAGTGCGCTGGAGGGGGCCCGACCCCCAACTGGGTGCCCTGCCCGGCCAGGCCGCCCGGAACCTCCCTTGGGCCCCTGCTGGTCACCCAGGCGGCCCGGATCCCCACTCAGCTTCCATATGAATTTAGCAGCCCACCGTGCGATTAAGGAGCACAAACTTTTTCCCAGCGGGCTGACTGCTGCTACAAACCACAATAAGGCAAACAAAGCCCCATTTGTAACCAAAACCCGCCCATATAGGGACAGGTGGGGGGCTTTTCCCCAGGTAGATACTCTCTGAATCGTGCGTTGTAGCAAGATGCTTTCCTTATCTACTGTACAAGAGAGTAGTGCTACTTGAACTCCTAAAAAGCGCTCAGAACTACCCGTGATGATTCTCTTCATCCCCCAATTTACCATCGGTAAATGGAGGTCGGGGAGGAAGAACACTGATTTGGCCCAGTTAACCAAGGTTTCTGACCACTCTGAGTACTCATCTAGGCATTTCTTCAATGCTGTCATTGAGTCGACAAAATTATCAGAAATAGCAAATAAGTCGTCAACGAGGGCCTTAACCTTGCATTGCCCAGAGCTTGCCTTGTGCCCAGTGATTGGATGGTGGGTTCTGATATTGCATAACAGATTCTCCATTTGGATCACAAATAAGAGAGGGGCAAGGAGACATCCCTGGTAGAGACCTAGTCAGTGAAAAGGTTTTTGATAGGTTGCCATTGACCATCACCGCAGCAGTAGACAAGGAGTATAGGGCCACCACCTAGTTACACATGTTCTCCCCAAAACCTACATGACGCAGGGTGGTGAGAACGTATGTCCAATTAACACTATCGTAGGCTTTTTCTAGGTCAAGCATTAATACTGAAGTATTGGCTTTCGTTATTTCCACCACCTCCAAAGCTTCCACTGCTGTAACGATGCTATAAAAAATGGACCGGACTCGTACAAAGGCTGCTCGATCTTGTTTAATTAAAGATGGCAGATGCCGAACCAAACGATGCGCAAGCAGCTTTGCTAATAATTTATATGATACGTTTAAAACTGAGATCGGACGCCAATTTCGAATCTCGACGTGGTCTCCTTTTTTGTGTTGTAGGGAAATAATCTCATTCCTCATACCTTTCGACAGGTTTTTACCTAAGAGAGCCTGATTATAGATCTCAATTAGTTCTCCCTTAATATTATCCCAAATGATTGCATATAGCTCCACTGGGAGCCCATCGTCCCCAGGGGCTTTACCATGAGCCATCGAACGCAGTGCTTCCCAAGCTTCTTCCTCAGTGACTGGGCGGTCCATATCTAATCTTCCATGTGTAGAAAGTTTAGCTGTAAACGGAGACCAGTGATTTGAATTCTCTGAGAGATCCTCTGTTATGTCCTCGTTTGGGCGCCTGGTGGTTAGAATGTCGTGGTATTACATCGCCGCATATTGAGAGTTGATCTCGGTCCTGTGCAATTGGGAGATCATGGTCAAAAGGATGGGATAGCGAGCTCATCGATTGAGTCAATCGTTTTGGTGTCCGTTTCTGGAATGTTTCTCTAGTCATGTGGTCATAGACCGCAATTCCTTTGATTTCAATCGCTCAGCTCAAACGTTCGATTGCTCTTGTTGACAAGCGTCCCATTCTACCATGTATTTCGCCTAATAGGGCTCCACATCAGGTTGGAGATAGGGTGCAAGTTCATTCGTGATTCGGCATATTGTACTTTTTTAATTAGAGCAGTTTCTCGTTTGCTCCTATCAGCAGCCAAAATACGTGAGAAAATGCTCAAATGTTTCAAAAAGATCCTGGAACCTGCGTCCCACCAATCAGCAGCAGAGTCGAAGGAATCTGGGTTCTTTTTCCAGTCCACCCAAAATCTGTGCATCCAATCCCCGAGTCTTTTAAGATCTCAGTTGTAACCCTGAAGTATCCGGGCCCCTTTCGGTTTTAGTACCATCAAGCGAGAGCAAAACCGGTTTATGGTATGAAAGGGTACCCGACTGCTCAAAAATATTAATCGTGGTGTTCCACACCGAAAGTGACACCACAAAGAAGTCGAATCTTCTGCTCACCGTGCCCTTACCCTCCTTGAAATTTGAGGTCCAGGTATAACCCGCGTTGCCAGGGTGCAATAGACTATATGGTTCGACAAGTACAAATCTGCCATCAGATCGGTTAGTTCTTTGCTGTCGTTGCTTCCCAATGTAACATCGTTTTTATCCAAAGAGGTATTCCAATCACCGACAATGATCAAGTTCTCGCAGTCTGGAATAAACAATGGAAGATCACCGAAAAAAAGTTCTCGTTCTTTGCAGTTAGTAGGCGCATATATCGAGGCGATCACCCACTCCTGCTTCCCCATCCACAGTTTTACCCAAGACCGACGGCCCCATAGATCTGCACAAAAATCAACAATCTCAGATTCCGGGTTCCAATGAATCAAAATAGAAAAACCACCTCTCGAACCACAGGCTGGAGACCAAATTTGTGGTCCATCCCACCACGCTCCTAGCTCTACAATTTTGGACTCTGAGAGCTTAGTCTCTTGAAGACAAACGATGTCTACTTTTTTGTCATGGATCCAACTCTTTAAGCGGCCACGTCACCCAACCCACAAATATTCCACGTAGCTAGTTTAAATCTGCCCATTCATGGGCAAGGATCCAGTAGGTTGGATTTGGACTGAACCTGTCGGAACTACCCCAGATTGAGGCCATGGCTCAAGAAGGACTCGTTTTAAAAAAGGTGAATCAAGCTTTTTGTTCTTACCCAGTTTGGAGTTCAATTCGTGGAGGAATTCAGCAGTCGTATTAGCAGCCACTTTAATTCGCTGCAGTTTCGGCTTCCTAGCGTCCAAGAACCAAGCTACGGTGATTAGGCAAAGGCCTTCCCTCTCCAAGGAGTCTAGCTGACCCACAATAAAACGAACATCGAAAAGTGGCGCAAACATTTTTACTCGACTACCGGCAATGTCAACAAGAAATCGAGGCATGGTAACTTCAGCAATGAGTCGAAGGGTGAGTTTACCCCGAAACAATGTTTGAGCAAGGTTTTCCGTAACACAGGGCATCGAAGACTCCGGACACGTCATATTAAACAACAGGGGGATCCCATCCACACCTATCCATGCAACAACGCAAAAGGAATCCCTAACTGCAGTAAGAACAATCGGAAGAAGTTTCGCTATAACACTACTCTGGCCTTTCGAGAGGGCTTCCATTCGAGCTCGAGAGGACTTTCGCTTACCTGAGGTCCCCTGAGGAGTTTGAGACACAGACTGAAAGGAGCCACTGGAACTATGCGAGGCTTCAACCATCGGTCCATCAACTTGAATATCAACTCATGTTCCCTCACTTAGCCTTCGTGCTTTTCCAGGGGATTCTCCTCGGACGCGACTACCTACCTGAGAGGTTGAGCCCCCAACAGGGAGCACTGACTGCTGGTATTGGGGATTCATTCCCATACCCCGATTCATACCTTGGAGCGTACCCCCTTGCCCATAGGTCTAAGGGGCAAAAGCATGAAGGTTAACCACTGCAGGACTAGCATTCAGAAGTGGATCTGCACCAGAGAAGCCTTGTTGTTGAGGCAGAAACGGATGCGGCGGAATTCCTTGCAGATATGATGCCCAGGCAAGATTTGTCGTCGGATTCACCGGGACGGGTTGCTGGACTCCTCCTCCTCCACTTGACTGTCGAGGGAAGGGGGAAAACGTAGGATTAACTCGAAGTACAGTTTCCGCTGGAATTCCAGGTGGCGCCATGTTGCTGATTCCTACTCCGGAGGACTGTTGGGCGGCCGCTCCTAGTGCTCGAAGCGGACCTTGATATTGTGACCGAGGAACTCCTCCTGTAGAGGCAGTAGACGCTTGTGGATTGTTGGAAGGTCGCTCCCCTTGATTCCTCCTTGCATGCCTGGAAGTATCTTCCGTATGGAAGAACGTGCGGCACCTTCTGCACCATTCGCTATCAGCACATGCCAACTTCACCTCCATCAGGTCTCCCTGGCAGGTTTGATCCATATCTTATCCTTCATAAACTCTTTCCTGCTGGAGTCAATATCAAACTGCAGGTTGACCAATTTTGGGTCAACCTCGCCGGCTTCTGGTAAATGGGCCTTCACAACTCTCCCAATCGCTCTCTCCACGTGATCTCGTAGAAAGACCATCTCGTCCAGACGTACTCCAACAGCAACTACCCAAAAAAACTTATCATCAATAGTCATCCTCCAATCTCTGACTTCGGCCCTGGTCATCCAGGGTTTGAACTCAGTGCGGTATGTGGTTCCTCCCAAATCGATGAAATCGGTCTTCTTGTTCAGCATCCAATCGGTAATTTCTTGTATCCTTGGAACATAAGAAGCCACATTCAGAGACTCCACTTTGATTCGGCCTCGTTTGAAATTTGCTCCAAAGGTGTCGTCCCTCATCCAACCATCTTTGTAAGCGCGAATAACATCTTCCTTGACTCTCCTTGGAAGGAATATTGCCCCATCACGAAATATCACCGTCACTGTCCTGGCCTTCAGCCACCTCACCTTCAGTTCGTCAATCGAGTTGTTAAGCACGAAAGTTACCTCCCTGCCATTGACTTCCATGGTGCCTCCATCAATGTTCGCTGGAAGGATGCCATCTTCATAGCAAGCTCTCATCATCTGCTTCACTCGCTTTTCTTCAAGCACGTTATCATTCGGAACTTGAGCTCTATCTCCTTGAGCTCCTGTCTCTTGAGCCCCCAAAGGGATATGAATTGCTTCCATGGCTATCCAAGGGCTAGCAACCGCCCTTCGACAACGTGATGTAACTGTTGACTAGTACAAAAACCACAAGAGTTGACAGTTCAAATTCCATGTTCCAGGGGGCGGGAACAAAGACAATCTACCCGCTGACAAACTCAGCTATGGCCGTCACCACCGGCTTCAACACGAAAGCGTTGAGTTGCCAAACTACGCCGAGCGATTCCACGCCAGGACCGCTGGCACCGGCTAGGCCTGCTGAAGGCAGGAGGTGCTAGGGCCGAGTGAGGATCCTACTCGTTGTAATCAACGATTCCAAATATTCAACGTCATGACAATTGAATTACAACTTTGGTTTCCTGCTGATTGCCCCGAATCTTGGATTGTTCCTCAGTGTGAGAATTCGGAGGACCAAGATTCATAGGGGTTCCCAGCAAATAGCCCAGCGGACGCACCAGTGCTAGCGCCGCTTCGCGCCACCCCCCGCGCCTGTGTTGATCCTCCTGGCATTTTTTCAGGAGTGCACTGTGTTAGGTTTTCTGGCCTGTGGCTTATTTTTGTTGTGGAGAGTAAGGTTTCAGGACAGCGGCCTAGATTTGGTCATTTCTATTCCTAGAGCATCCTCCTGACTCTCATGAGTTGTTGTCTTTCAGCGAGCTATAGCTTGTAAGCTAAACTGGCTGAGGCTGCCAGGATAACTCCGGGTTGAATTGTGAGGTCCCCGGCCTCGATTTGAAAATAAAAAATAAAAAAAATGCGGGTCACCAGTCTGTAATCCCTCTATAAGCTGAACCTGAGGTCTCTCTCTCTCATGCAGGAAGCGTGAGGGTGTCAATGATGTAATACATGACATGCTGGGGGAAAAGGAACTGGACTGATGCTCCCCAGAATGGACATAGAGCCAGGACGAGAAGGGCCTGTTTTTTCTTAAAAGAAAAAAGGAAAAAAATTGCATGCCGTCAGAGTTAGTCTGTTTTGTGGTTTTGGGATACTATGATGACGAGGCTCTGTATGAGTTGTGCACTCTTAGGACAAAGGCCTTCCCGAGGATGATGTACCAGAGTGCCTGAGGTCCGAAGAGCAGGGAAGAGGAAGAAGGGCTCACCAGTGGGTGAGCATGCAAAGAGAAACTGCAAGATTCCCTCCAGACAGACCACTCTGATAAACAGATTCTTTGGCACAGATTCTTTGGCAGGGGCTTGCCCATGGCCGCCTCCTCTTCAGCCTCCCTTCTTTGCCAGAGGTCTCTAGAGTGCTTGAGACCACGGATCATTGTTCAGCACTCATCCATGTGGCAAGCTCAGCTAAACACAGCGTAGATCAGGACATGATGGGCGCAAGCCTGTCATCAGACTCTGACAGGTTGTCACCAAGTGACGGCATGGCGTTCTTTTTATGTATGTGAGCACCGCGCTGAGGAACAACATGGGAGTATCAGGGCGATCACTGCCACTGACGTAGCTAACTCATGTCCGAGTGTGGGTTAATTAGACTGTGGGAGTCCTGTGTGGGAGGGGCAGAACAATTTATCCACGATCACAGTAACAACAGCCCAAATCAACCAATCACTAACTTTAGAGTGGACATCGAAATGGGTGGGATAGTCCTAGGAGAGAGACATGCACTCGGCACCAGAACGGACAAGGAAAGAATCTGCTTTGAAGTTAGAGTCAGAGGAAAGAAAGGTAGATGGATGTTATGGATCACCCTCTGTGGCCAGCAGCATGCATTCTAACGAAGCGGCAGTGGAGGTGCTACTATCAGAAAACAATACTGGAGACACTTGACTCACTTCATGGCTTTGCATGTTCCTTAGTTCCTCTGTTCATTTCTTGTCCTTCGTTTGCTGTTGGCTCTATTTGTTGTCACTCCATTCATTCCTCCATTTCTTTCTTCATCATGCCCTCCCTTTGTTCTATCCCTCCCTCCCTCCCTCCCTCCCTCCCTCCCTCCCTCTGCC